GAGCCCCTATAGCTGAGCCAGCCGGCTTTTGTGCCCATCCCGCATTTCTTGTCATTTTATTCTATTCACGTGAACGAAACGGTTGGACTCTCCAGCGTGGCATCGGCGGATAGTTAGCTGAGTTGACTTGTGCAGCCACTATCGCTATGAAAATAACGGTTGAACAGAACCAGAAGGTTAACCAGGTACTAACAACACCTTTAATAAGTCGGTTCAATAACATAGAGTTCATACCTATTTGATGTTATTCAATTCTCTTTTACGTTTTGAGCAGTTTGTAAAAGTCTGTTTGTTTTGTTGTTCAGGTTTCATCCTCCAAAAAGCTGAGCTCAGTGCCAGACGAAGATATTGAGCAATGGGGATCTCGTTTTCTTGTACGGTCAGAGGAAGACCTTTCCCTTCCCCACCATCCACATAACTCAAAGTAAATTACCATTAAATTTTGGCAACTAAATTTGCAAACTTTATTGTGGCCTTCAAAATAGGTATTTATTTGCTTTCCCCCTCCTGTCCTATAGATGGAGTTCTAGAGGGTGGTGCAAACCAGCATACATTCCTATATCAATCATTCTTATTATGATTGTTCTGGTTGTGCTCTTGCCTCTCTTGGAGCAATCTGAACACTGGGAGGAAAAATTCAGACTCGATTCTGGTGCCTTTTCGTGCAAAAATACATGCAGGTGGGTGCATTGTCTACCTTGTGTTCTATTGTTTGTAGATCCTCTGACGTTGTTATGGTGTATTTTTATCTTTTATTTTAACAGAATTTCGTTAACTGAAAGTATCCCTGAAGGTTTGTTATACCCTCCAGAAGCCCCAAAGTTTCCTTCCACTTATGATGTATGGAACAACTTAATAAATATATCACAGAGTTCCATTGAGATAGCCTCATTATACTGGTCCTTAAGAGGATCTGATATTTACCCCCATCCATCTGCTAATGAGGTAATTCAGATGACTTTCATCGGTAACATGTAAAGGTGGATTTGCAGTAGCAATGCAGTAAGCGTAACTCTACAGCTGACGTTAAAACAACGTTAATAAGGTTCTCTTCCACTCCCCCCTCAACATCTTTGGACCACTTCCCTAGTGTTAATTCAGCTCTAGCGTTATAATTATGCTCGCTGCATTGTGATTGCAAATCCCCCTTATCAAGGCTAATTGATTGTTTACTTCTACATCATGCCGTAAAATTTCACTTTCTCTATAAGGGAGAAGACATTTTCAACAAATTGATGGATGCTGCAGTGGATAGAAACATCAAATTGAGAATTGCTCAGAACTCTCCATCTAGAGATATGCCTAGCACAGATACTGAGGAGCTGCAGAAGAAAGGTTTTGCAGAGGTCTGATGTTAAATTTAACTATGATGGTTAAATATTTTTTCTTTCATATATGTTACTTTAAAAAGTCCAGTACTGTTAAAAAAATTCCATTTAAAAAAAAATTAAACAAAAAAAACTTCATTAATTTTACAGGTGAGAAGTGTGAATTTTGCCAAATTATTAGGGAGTGGTGTTTTGCACACCAAGTTTTGGATTGTGGACCGAAAACATGTATATCTTGGCAGTGCTAACATGGATTGGCGTTCACTCACTCAGGCATGTTTACAAGAGCTGATTTTCATTTCATATCTCAATCTTACTCAATTACTTACATGCATTTTATCCTTACAGGTGAAAGAGATGGGTGCAGTTTTATACAACTGCCCCTGTGTAGCAGAGGATATTTTGAAAATTTTTGAAGTTTACTGGGATCTTGGCAAAGAAGGTGCTGTCATCCCTCCCAAATGGCCAGAATCGTACAGCACACCTTTCAACATGCTCACACCTATGAACATTTCTCTAAATGGCATGCAAGCCAACACATTCCTGTCCAGTTCTCCTCCTCCATTTTGCCCAAGTGGGAGATCTGGAGATGTTGACACAATTGTAAATTTGATAAATGAAGCTGAGAAGTTTGTGTACATTGCAGTTATGGATTATATTCCCATGATGATATATACAGCCAGACCAAAGTAAGTAAAGGATAGAAAGTGCCTGATACTATCCTGATTCATAGACGGTGTAGGTGATGTAAAAAGTAGCAAAACTTAATTTGTAAGAAACAAAAAAAAAAAAAACATTATTTTTGAGCATATGTTCGCATTCAGAACCTTGATTAAGATTTCAAGGCAGGTGAGGTAAATCCTTCCAAAATGGCTCAAAATGCAGTGTGCCTCTTACATCCTGTTTATTTACCATAATATCTTCCCCTTAACCACATATTTTGGATGTAATTATTTGTTTCTTTTTGTCCCCTTAGGTTTTGGCCAGTGATTGACAATGCACTGCGGAGCTCTGCCATCAACAATAAAGTAGAGGTTAGGCTTCTGATGTCATCATGGAACCATACAAGGAAGGCAGAGATTCTGTTTTTGAGGTCCCTTACAGAAATTTCTAATACATACAAGAATGTAAATTTAAAAGTGGTAAGTTGTCCTTGCTCTTCTCATGTGCCTTAGTTCCTACATTGAAACTGCTCGAACTGCTCCTTGACAATAAAGTCACAGTAGTAAGCAGTTTTTTTGTGTTTTTTTCAAGTTTATTAAAATTATGTCTTTCTTGGTTTCCAGAAATTATTTAAAGTTCCTGCAAATCCAGATCAGCAAAAAATTCCATTTGCTCGAGTTAACCACAACAAATACATGGTAACAGACACTGCAGCCTACATTGGAACGTCAAATTGGTCTGGGGACTACTTCGTAGACACAGCTGGTGTGGGTTTAGTTGTCACACCTTACATGTCAAACCGCAAAAGGAACCCACTTCCTATTCGCGATCAGTTACAATCAGTTTTTGACAGAGACTGGAACTCAGAATATGCAAGTGACTTGTCAAAGATCTCAAATGAATTCTTTTCTTCCCTGCTTGACTGAGATATTGGTATTAGACAAATAGTTTAAATCAGTTGAATGATTGTAAGTAATTTGTTACTACCTACATGTGTTGTAAATCTTCAATATAGAGTTAAAATGAAAAAGAAAAGAGAGATTTTAAAGTAATATATTGTAATAGATTTTTATATAAATGTTTATAAATATGTAACAGATGAAGAAAAGCAATAAACTTAAGTTTTAATAAAATACACACATGTAGTTACATATACTATTTTTTTACAGTCTTTTGGTTTCTATTATCAAGTTAAAGGAGAAAATAATACTGCAAACAACATTTTTGATAGTAAGTAAACAAGCAAGTAGCTTGGCTCACTCCATGTCCACTCTGAATAGTTTTACTACCTTTGAAATTGGCCGATTACAGTATGGACACAACTTCCTCTCCAGCCATACTCTGTGAGCACACTTATAGCAAAATAGTTGATGACCTACCTCACCATGAATAAAAACGCCATTGCATGGGGCGTCCAGGCAGCAACCACACACAGAAGGCTTCGAGTCAAGATGGGGAGGGTCTGATTGGCTACTATCTGATAACATGGTCCTTTTGGATGCTGGGCAATTGTTTTCAGTGGACGTTCTTTTTCTCTTAGTACTCGGACGAGGAGGAAAGAACCGTTTGCGGTCCTGAAAAAGAAGATCAGTTGTGTGTTACAAAAATATCTGGAGAAAAAGGCATTTCAATACCAGAAAAATGAAGATAGAGACACTTGCCATGTAACATTTTCTGCAAAATGGAAACGGTGAACTTTGAGAATTGACGTGACATCTTAAACACTTCCTGGTTGTTTTTGTATCAAATTGAAAGATTTCATGTGAATCCTAAAGACACAAGAAAAGCAACACCATCAATACCCTGAAATGGTCAATGTTTGAACAAATGTTTGTTGCATACAGTAAATATCATATTTAACACGTTCCCTGCGGCTCATTTTTGGTCATTTTTTGGTCATTTAACATGGGGAGTGTGACCACTATGTGGTAACGCTGCAGGGAACATTTTAATGCCTAGATAGCACTGTGCCACCCTCTGCAGGCGAAGCTCTGCAGATTATCCCTGTCCACTGAGCCAGTCTACACACCAATACTTAAAAAAGGTAAAACTGACCTCTGGGCCAGAGGAGATTTCTGGTAGCGTGGGTATGCTTGAAGCTGACGATCCTACTGAATACTCTGATTCTAAAGATGATGTTTCAGTGTCAGGAGTATCCTGACAGGATGCTGTTAACAGGAACTCACAATTAAACTACGGATACATCTATATTACAGTGAAAACTCTTTCAATTAATTTTAAATACCTGTTAACTCCATTTGACCACTAGACTCACTTTCAGTCAAGTCTGAAAGTTCAGATTCAGACTCCAATCTAATATCTAAGACCATGATAGAACTGCAACAAAATAAGAAAAGCAATATTACGTAATTGAAAAACGCACAAGGTGTGAAGGAACATCGTGATTTAACAGCTAGGTGCAATTACCTGGCTGTTGATGATCTGACAGTCGGGAAGTGCGGAATACATGAAACGGACGCTAAATCCATGATTGAGCAGCAGCTTCAACACGACGCTGCAGGACGAAAACGAATGGCAACTGACCTCGAACTCAGCAAGAGCAGAGGCAGACAACACACAACACTAACCAACAGGACAATAACAATAAGTGGTGCAAGCTTTGACAAGTTCAAACTGGCATGTTTACATCGTGACTCACTGTAGCAAAAGCAAGAAAATGAAAAAGGAGGGTGATCGGAGAGCTCCCTGCAGCGCGATTAGAGAGCTCACTCGCGCGAGTGAGCTCGCTCACTTAGCCCTTAAAATCCCTTTTAACTGTTTGGGAATGTTGAAAATGAACAAAATTGTAAAATGTGAAGAAATAATGAAAATCCTAACCGAACTGCGTGTTTAAGAGAAATAAGGAGGCGGCGCTCGGCTCCGAGAGCGAGCGAGCGAGCGAGCGAGCGAGCGAACTCTCTAATCGCGCTGCTGGCCCGGGCTCGAGTGGGCTACTTCCGGTGCCGATCTCGGCTTTAGCAATTTTGAAATTTGAAATAGCACTGGTGCAAACGGACTGTTGTAAATCTAGCTAATGTCTTCCAGCTAGCTCCTTTTAGGTGTACAGCTAAAAAATTAGCTGGGCCTATACAGACGAAAAAATTAGCACCGGTGCTAAAAATCTAGCACTACCGCCAGATTTTTTTTGCGTGCGTTCTGACCCTCATCTCGCTGGCGTGCAACGTGACCATGTGTGGTAGGGGCTCTGTGCTGGGTAATGGTGGCATACTAGTACTTATGTAACAGTAACAATGTTTATTAATAAGAACGGATATTGAAGGTGATACGGGACCTGGCACACTGGGCGATACATACTATCATACATACATGAGGTACCTATTGGAGCCGTGCGCCGAGCGCACGGCTCTGGACTGGCTGGACGATCCGACTGGGCTGACGATGCTGGCCGAACTCTCCCGTCGCGATGCGACGCGGCTTACTTATACTTTCGGGGCTCTCTCCCCACCAGGCCCGACAATGGCCCGGGCGCGGCGCCCACGCATGACCTCACCTGAGGGTGTGGTCCACGCCAATATGCGCGTCTTGCATATGGCTGACTGTACTGTCTGGACGCGTACTCATGGCCGTCCGAAGACCGTATTAACTTGTCCAGTTAGGCTTCCACACATGGCTGTGGCCGCTGCCCTCTTCCCAGAGATCGTGAACGCGCGGGCTGGCAGTCCGCTCCCCAGCCCGAAGCAGTTTCGGACGAGCCCAGGCCCGGCCCGAACCTTTCGGGCTCGGGCCAGCCCGAGCTTGGCCCGCTAGCTCGAACCCCGCCTCGCCCCGCTCAGCCCCCCTCACCTGCAGCGCGTGCTGAGCCGAGCCCGAATCGAGCCCGAAACCTCGGCTCAGGTTCGGATCAGCCTGCTTGTCGCTAGCAGCCGGCTGGCGACGGGTGAGCCAGGCCCGACGGCCCGCGCGTTCACGATCTCTGCTCTTCCTCAAGGGCATTAGTGAGGTGAAACTGTGCGCAGTCTGGTCGGCTAATCAATATTGACACTATCTCATTTCTTCCAGTCTAATGTAGAAAATCTGGGCCCATTCATGCAGAACAAGCCCGTCCTGATGGTGCACTACATTCGCATGTGGGTCGTTTTTGCATTCTTCTGCCTATTGGCTACAGTCGCAGGACTGTGCGCCCTCGTGGATGTGGCTATAAGTGGAGCAGGAATGGGCTTCATGATCTTCGTAGCAGCCCTCTCCTGCGGTAATTGCAATAATAGTAATTCGCACTTTGGCACTAGACAGATGTTTGCGGGTGTTTGTGCTTGCTTTGTTTGAACACGCTACTTCTCTTCCTCCACCAGCACTGTCCCTGTACTGCCTGATCTGCGCTAACAGCCTGCACGTCAAGATGACTCAGGACTTGCAAGCGCATGCTGTTGGCCTTGCCTCGGTCAAACGATACGGAGCTACAGAAGAGGATCCACTCAATGGAGCAGAGCGTCTCGACGAATTTTCATTCGAGTAGTGCCGTTGCTGGCACGATGTTGGGCGGGACGCGATAACGCGAAACTTTGATTGTTGATCGACACACCCTGTTGCTTTGGTGTTTTTAGACATTACGAATTACAAATCTGACTACATGAGGGTAACACAGATGTAAATGCAGCAATATAAGGAAGGCAAGCCTGGAATAAATAAACATCATATTTAATTGTAGTATACAAAATAATTATTTTGCATATAGTTCCTCGGTAACACGAGGGAATGTATAATGTGTACGTATACAGAAATGCTCTCCAAATCAAACTGTGTAACAAGATGACAGTTTCAACTGCCAAACTAAAGTCTTGGAGTTTAAACTGCGAATCTGAACAGTTTTTTAAAGTTTAAACTGCCTATAAAGATTTCAGTTTTACTCTGGACTTGTGACTTTCTACAAGGAAACATATTTTTCCACGCTGGAAGAAAAATCTTGATTCTAGATTTTATTTTCCTGGGATGTATTTAGTCTGGAAAGTTAGTTCTGTTAAATTTTATTTCTATAGATGGTTTTTCCTAGGTGGAGTTTTTAAAAATACCAACAGCTCATAATGTGGTTAACGTGACCAAAATGTCGGATTTCGGTAGTGGTCAATTTGAACCCTGTCTCGTGGTTGTTCGTTTGAAAGCTTTTTTCACGATAAAACTATGTACCCACCATCCAAAGTTATCCGTCTGAATCAAAATGCAGGCCAAGAACCTATTCAGAGCAACCGTGAGCATACCATGAACTCTGATGGGGGTTTTTAGTGGGTGGCCGTCGGTGGCCGCCGTTTTTAAACCAACCACCAACTTCAAACTTAGGAAAACGAAGAAAGCCCCTCTGAGGTAGGGCGGCCCGCCGCACTCAGCTGTCGGCGCGGCGTGGGTGGCCTACCCCGCCGATGACAGGGGCGCTCGGTCCAGACCAGCCGGGCCGGAGGCAGACGCTGCGCCGGCGCTGCGCGCTGGCGACCCCCCCCCCCTCTCTCTTTCAGCTCCAAGTCTTCCCCCCTGCTGCCTCCTCCCCTCGCGGGCGGCGCCGACGTGTCTGGACCTCGAGGGAGGCGCAACGGCGCAGCCCCTCCCTCGGCGGCTTCTTCTGCGGGGCCCGGGGCAGCCAGTGAGCACGCACTGGACGCAGCGCGAGCACGAGCAGCCGACGCACCGCGAGCCACCGCGGGGGAGGCGAGCAAAGATAACCAGGCCGCAGAGCTCTGCAAAATCGCTGTATGTGACCGACCGTCGGAGACCGCTCCGCGGCCTGCGCCTCTGCACACAGGCCGCGTGGCTCGGTCGGTCTGCATCTCTCAGGCCGACCGAGGCCCGGTCTGTGCAGACCGCGGTGCGAGAGACGTTTTGGGGCGTGGCAGAGCGTTGCGCATCTGTGCGGGGAAGTGGCGGAGCGTGGCGATGTGCCGATTGCCGACGCTGCCGCCTCGAACGTAGGCAACCCAACGAGCACCCCCTCTCCCACACCAAAACCCTGCGGTCTGCGCAGACCGAGTCGGTCTGGCGCGGTCGGTGGTCGGTCTCACACAGCGATTTTGCAGAGCTCTGCCAGGCCGCACGCCATGATGAACAGGTGAGCATTGCCAGCCCCCGAGGCCAGGATGTCATAGCAGCGGGTGACGGCTCCCATAGCACCACCCGAAAAGAATGTTTATTGAATCAAGAATAAGTTCTCGGATTATCTGCAAATTGCATTGGGCACTGTAAATACAGGAGTTACGCACGTCGCTCCCAAAAGAGCGACGCAATCGGACGCAGTGCATGCACTCCGATTATCGGTGTGTTCGATTGGAACTGGAACACAACCAATGCTTCTAATTTCGTCACTCTTCTGAGATCCAGGAGGGAATGGACAATCCAGCTCCCAACCCCTCCCCCTTCAGGGTTGGGAGCTGCGAGCTACTGCAGCACTGCAGCCCCCGCCCG